GCCCTCGAATTTATGGTACTCCCGATAAGAATGTTGAAAATTGTTAACATTAATGATACTCTTCGGGACTAATGATAAATAAGATGAGAGAGGCGCCGGATGATGATTTTTATTGCGGACTGAGAAGATGGCGGTGGTAATCTTAATGACTCAATTTTTGGCGGATGGAGGACGATCGGTTCTGCAAAAACAAACGCTTCATTTTTTTTAAGCAACAATATTTAATTATGTGTTTGTTTAATCGATTTATCATGCGTTTGCTGTCTAATTTTTAGCGGTACGCACGGGGTATTGTTCGCGGGAGTATTTCGTATCTTAATTGCTGGTCGCGGTTGCCTCTGCTGATAATGAAATGGAGAAAAATAGTTGTTAAAAAATAAATATTCGTGATACTTTATAGTTATGCGTATGTACTTGAATGTTTTTTATGACGCAAATGAATTTAGAATGGATTTGCGTTCGAGAATGGGAAGACATGACGGGGAATATTGAAACAGTTAATTTTATCAATTAATCCTTTTAGTTTTGCGACGATGAAATCACTCCGGTGGATTTTATCTCAAAATTGATGAGAATGAATTGAATTTAATGATTGAGAGATTTTTAAACTCGTCTTTTTGATCAGTCGGCTTGTTTACTTATGGCAAATCTCGGAGATGAATAAATTTGAATAGAAAAATTATTCCCAAATTGAGGTGATAACGTAATGAGTCTGGTATAAATGAGACTCTGGAGGTGACTGAGTTCTCTTATCTCCCAGGACGTGTTTCACTGTCTTGTTTATGTCCACACCCGTGACCAATTCGATAAGAAGTTTCTTGATTAACGCATTCCGCTGATCAACGAAATTGGGCATTTGATGTCGAGCGAATTCCGATTGCAGAATATTTTCACTCACTACATCTTCAAAGATAATCATTTATACCAGTCACCAGAAAAATTCTATCATAATTGAAACTATCATAATTACACTTAAACCCAAGTGTCCTGCACTCAACGCGCGTACATTGCGCTCTGGAATACTTGAAAAATAATTCAACCGAATTTCTTTTCTCTTAATTAATTGCACTCTCGAAAATTCACAACCGAAAACTCCGCTATTTTCACCCAACGTGTATTTTCTAACATATGATGTTTTACGAATTTAGGTTACGCGGTTCGTCAGTCACGATGATAATGCACCCCCTCGGCTTGCAATTGCTGACACATATTTTTTTTTTTATCGACACCAGGTTGAATACGCAATTCACCCTCTTGTTATCGTATACCCAGAGAAAGTGGTCCGGAAGGCCAACTGACATTGCACGTATATTTTATATTTAATTTTTTTATTTATTATTTTTATTCCTTCATTCTTCTGTGTGCTGAGAATACGAAAATGTGAACACTGTGTTTCGACATCCTGTCACGGAACAATTGGCCAGATGTCGGGTGAAGGGTGTAGGGGGGTGGAAAGGGGGGAGGGTTTAACCAACAGAAAATTTGTGGTTTTGTTGACGCGTCCATGTAGGTAACTGTATGGTATGTCTTCGGCTTCTTCGGTCTAGGTAGCACCCTTATGGTGCGTTCTGTTGACCACCAATTGTCGAATACCCGAAAATTTTGAGGAATTGAATAACTTCAAGGACGATGGATTGTTATATTTCTGGGTCAATATTTCAATTGAATTTTTGGCGAATGGCTGAAGCTGTTGGACTCCTCCGTTCGAATTCCAATGAATTCATGAATCGGGAATATGAATTCTCAGGTCGAAAATATGAACTCAAATTCCAATAAATAATAAATTTATGCATTAAAACGGTAATTACTGTTATTAAATAAGTCATGGACTGAGGCTTCAGCTTTTGATGATGGAGTCGGGGACAATTTTTAAAGTCTGTACTATTTTTAAAAATTAGTCATAATTCTCTAGTCATGCGGACGTTGATTATCGCCAGTGGAAATCAGCATCAATAACGAGACACCCCCGCTGTTTCCCGTCCAAATTCTATTTTCCCTCTTTCGTTACCGACTAAAACACCGGCTGCTGCATAATTCGGTAGATAATGATCGGTAAGAATTCGGTAACGATGACCGGTTGATAATGCAAGTATTTCCCTCGGCGTACAGTAATTTTCATGATCGATTTGTTGGAGGAAAATTGTGTATCGTATTGAAGAAAATGTCTGGCGATTCAAGGTCTAGACCAACCACTCATCAATATCATCCCCCCAATAGCTCGGGTGAAACCTCAACCCTAGTTTCTTGTCGTAAAAATAAAAAAAAAAAGTTCTTCTACCCCGGAAACTCTGGCGTCTGGTATCTACCCTCGAAAATCCATAGCGGACCCACCCTTGTCTCAGCGCCTGCGCCTCATCATGTACAAGGGGTGGAATGAGAGGAGTGGATGTATATAGTCTATATACCTTCCACGAATATAGCCCACAAAATGGCGGACAATGGATTTTTGTGCACCCCCATGGGCAATCGTGATCCCCGGGAAATTACCAATTCCAATGAGCTCTTTTTCCATTCATTTTTTGAAAATATCTCCGATACTAACGGGAATTCTGAAATTTTAGTAATTACTTCTTTTGTAGCTCTCAATTATCTCCAGAGAAAATAATCTTATGAAAATTTAGGTATCTCTCTTAGTTTCGGAGGTATTAACGAAAAACTCACGAGAATTCGAAGCAAAAACTGAAAATTATGTCTAGAAAGTTTTATAATCTTCATTAGGTTCAGCTATATCCATCGAAAATTCCAATTATATGATTCACAATACTTCTTCATGATTGATCAGTACTTCTGATCTCCCTAGACCGAGTACAACCGTAAATAAGACATAAAAACAAATCATTGGGTTGATTACGAACCCGACATTTATTTCCCCAAATCACGTAAAATCGTGCAGTTATTCATTTTTCATCTATAGACAGACATTTATTTTTGTCATTGCGCATCTAAAAATAATGAAATGGGTGAATGGCTGGGGGGTGGGAGGCGTTGGAGGGGCAAATAAAGCCCAGTAGCCAGAGGAGAAACGAGCGATTGATAAATATCAGGGAGTTTCTCGGCAAAATGTTGTAAACTCGAAAATTCCGATATTTATCGCTGACTGGGGTGAGGGGGGGTGATTCAAGGGATCCTGGTGAGCCCGCGGGTGTATTTCGCACGTGGGTGTTGGCAAAGCACACGGCAACCTTGACTGCAGGCACCGGCTGATGGATTTGCGCATGGCGTGAGGGTTAAACCAGTGCCACCAGAGGCTAGATGTCTCGATAGGTTCTCGTTATTCTCAGGCTAATGGGTTGGTTTACTGATGAAGAGTGACTCTTTGGAAATATCATTTGTCTCAGAAATTCTTGACCCTCGGCAATTCACATTTTTCAAGTAGCGATCTGAATTCAATTGTTGGAAATATGAATTCACAAATCGAAAATATGAATTTTTGAAATGAAAAATATGAATTCTCATATCGGGAATATTAATTGTCAACTCACAGGATATGAATGTCGGAATCCAGAATATATGTTCAGAAATCGAATTTATTTATACCACTCGTATATAAAAACAAATAAACAATTTTATTTTCTCCCTATGTACAAGGGTTTTACCTCCCTCGATTAAAAAAATCCAAATAAGTGCCCGAAAGTTTACGCATGGCAGATCAGATTATGATCAAGTTCCAACTGGCGATGGATTACAATATGCGGTGGGTTTGAGCCGACGGGGATGGTTCTTGGCGGGTGGGCGTTGGTCACCTGGCTAAAACCTTGTCACTCACTTGATCCACACCCCCACAGCCATGAATCATGGGAAAAAAAAAATATTTTATGCCTCCTCATCGTGATGAGTGTAATTAAATCGTGGAGTTTACGAATGAACAAATAAACGTGGAATAGTATCAAATGGGGGTGAGTTGGGGATTCAGTGTGAGCCACGATCCTTTAGTTTGTGTGCCAACGGGCAATGCGCGATAACACGCTCGTGCGACCTGGTGCTCTTGGCTTTCGAAGGTATTATCGATCTGTCCAGCTATCGTGATCTCACGTGACTACTTCGGCGTGCAAGTATTCGCGCAAACACTAATTAATTGACATTTTTGGTGGATCCCATGCGTCGAGGTAACCATGAATCCGCGAACCTATGAGAATTCATTCTACTCAATCAACTCTAATCAATCAATTTTCCCCTAAACTAAACCACACTAATTTTTCTTAAATTGCACATCATGAATATTGTTACTACGACAAAAAACATTTTTCTACAAATAATTGTTTACATTGTTACGCGTTTAGAATGAACGCAATAGATTTTTTTCAATGAATTCCCCCTTTTTTCTCGACTCTATGAAGAATCAGCGACCGCGAAGTTGTTTTCATGATAATGATTGGGGAATTGCGGCCAAAATGCAATTCTCATATCGCAAAAAACTCGAGTACGTGTACGTAGGCTCGGGAATACCTCGGGTTTTTAATTAAAATGCTTAGGGGTTAGAAAGCGTGATGAATGAGATTTCGCCGTATATGGCGCCTCTGCGCCCGAAGAACTCTATTAATTATTGGATGACACAAAATCCATTATCCGGGACGGTTTTAGAAGTTGAAACAGATGCACAGGAGGTGAACGAGGTCGAAAAAAGCCCTTCGAATTTGACCGCAAGGTCCAGCCGATCATTATTTATTGATGAGCCCTTAATGCCGCCCACCCACATAAATATATTAAATAAATAAAATATGTTATATGAATTCAACATATTCTTCACGTATGCTCTCTCATTCTTCAATAAAAATACAACGAATTCAATGAAAAAATTGAGTTTAATTAAAAAATTGATAAAAAAATGAGTAAACAAAATGGGCGGGGAAAATAGTGAGATTTTTCGTTATGATTTTGAAAAAAAGGGTGCCATTTTTTTAAACTCATTTTGGAATGAGAGAATAGATAATTCTTGGATACATGTCGACGATTTATATTCGTTTCATATCACTAACAAATTGCTTGTATTTCCGTTTCAGCATGAAACCCCAGCAGAAAGACGGCGTGACCAAGTCAAATCCAAGCAAACGACACAGAGAGAGACTCAATGCTGAATTGGATACGTTAGCATCGCTTCTTCCATTTGAGCAAAACATTCTCAGTAAATTGGATCGGCTAAGCATACTCAGGCTCAGTGTCAGCTATCTCCGCACCAAGAGTTACTTCCAAGGTGAGTTTTATCACCGTTAAAATTAACCCCGACTTGCTCCTCGATCATTAGGATTTTTTATCCCTTTATTTTTCGGTTTATCTTTTTTGGCCTTTCGTCAGCATGAGAAAAACAAAGTAATCGAATTATTTTATTATCTCGGATCCTCGGTAGAAAATTTTCAGGGCAATGTGCACGCGATTTACTCGTTACACTCGGTACCGAAAACAATGAGAAAGGGGAAACAATGGGAAAAAGTGATCAACGAAATTTGTCTTTGTTTCGTTGGAGAATTGGGGGAGGATAAAAAATATAACGGGTTTGAAGTATCGAATTGTTCTGCTCGAGAGGTGGACTTTCAAGTCGGAAAAGTGGAGGTGATTTTTTCGGTGGATTTTTTAAACAATACTTTTATTGACATTTTCATTTTTTGATTGGATAAACGAGGGAAAAAAGGCGAATGGGATCAGGACAGAGGGAAAAGGAGTGAGAGTAGTGGCCGTGTCCCTTCTGGCGATATCGTGAATCTCGCAGTATATCACTCTGGACTTCTTGAGAGGGCAGAATACACACCAGTAGCATCAGCACTTGGGGTAACCCTCACGGGTGTGAGCCTTTTTTTTTTCTTTCTTTTCTCTCAACTCTGAAAACGGTAGCAGTTGTGTCCGAACCAGTGGCATTGTTCACACCATTTTAATAGGTATTCATTCTCACCAGTACGCCATATTTACACCCAAAAAAAATCAATGATTTCAATCAACTAGAAATCTTTGTTATATTTTGATTCTCATGAAAATGAATCGTTAATTGAATTTGAGTTTTCGATCTCGAAATCGCTCTCTTAAAATGAAACATTTTCAATTGTCAATAACTCGTAATCCACAGAGCGAAAACGAATATTTTTTTTTTTGTTTAAAACCTCAAAATCAGAATTTATAAGTAAAAAAAGTTGTTGAATTTCACTCAACCGATCGCAAGTCATTGACGATTGCAAACATCTAGTCGCGGGGTTGATAATTCGAAAAAATTGTTGAGATGCAATTTTTTTGCGCGTGGTTGCCAAAAAAATGGGGGATTTAAATTCACGTTAAAAATCAGTAGTCGGGAACACCCGTATCGCCCCATTGAATCGTGTTGGTCCCGGGGTCACAAGGTCGCGAGATCTCTCACACCGAAGCGACTAATGTTTTAGCCTGTTAACGAGAATCACTAAAGCACAACCACTGCTATCTCCCTCATCCCCAACTCTTTCAATTCGATAAATCCCCCTCCCCCTCCCAGCCATTTCCAATTGCTGCAAAACGAAGTAATAGAGAATCTATCATTAACAGTAGATTTGCACAATGGAATTTATTCCGGGAACGGGGATTGGAGAGGCAACCCCAGCAGAATCTAGCCGTCCAATCGCTGTTACGTGCTCCCTACCTCCATTTCTACTATGTAAATTAATTAGACCCTTTGGTATGCGCTGATTTTTCAACAGAGAGGGGAGAGGCACCTCCTCTGCGTACGCACTCGCCCTTTTTTTTTATTACCTTTTTACACTGTATTTTTTCAATTTCGTTTTAACTTTAAATTCTCGCTCTTTTATTCAGTGAGTTTTCTCTTCCTCTTCTCTCTCCCTTCGCACAGATAATGGATCAGCAATGATTTTTTCAATGTCGAGAACCACCGACCTAGGGAATTCTCACCAATTAATTTCCCACTATTTTTATTCAATTTGTTACGAAAATACGAAATCGTGTTTTGATAAGATTTCTCGTTGTTTCGGGATTGCTTAACGCTATTGAATGCTGTAATTAGACACTCCGCTGTGTCATTACGTTTATTACCCTATTTATTTTATTTAATAGGATGGAGATGCCATCGTTTTTGACGCGGCGACGGTAAATAGGTTTTTTAGTGCTCTGGGAGAAATTCATTTATGGAATTTTTATTGGTGATTTATTTTTTAATAAATCATAGCTTTTTATTTTGAAAATTTATCGTCATTTCATGCAAATAATTGTCTCACTCGTATCAAAGTCATTCGTAAGACTCGAAATAAACTCAAATGAAATAACGATTACATAAATCCAATTAATTACCCTTTGAATTTAAATTGGAACGTCGTAGGGTGACGAATTGATCTTGGCTGTGCGCTTGGATTTGATGGGACATTACACGTTATACAAACGTATGCCCTCCACGGACATCATGTCGAGGACCCTGAAGGCATAAATGGGGGAGGGAGGGATTATTAATCTGGTGCAGTTATTAATGAAAGGGGCTAGGCGCATTACACGGCGAGAGCTTTATTCTCACTTCTCTGGACGAGTTCTGGGTACACCAGGAACTCAATTTCCCCCGTGAATTGAACGTTAAACTCGTAATAATCCGGGAATGATGACTAAATAATGTCGTGCACTCCGACTTAATTAAGAATTCCAATTAGTACTTTTAAGTACTGAAACCATTTTGTACGAGAGTTGGTGGAAATTATAACTGCAAAATTTTATAGTGAAAATTGGCGAAAAATTCGGGGAATCATTTGATATTTTAATTATTTAAAGTTTTAATTAATGAAATCCGACGTTAAATGGCGTTTAACGATAATTTCAGGTAATGCCAAAATTATACGAGCGGAGAAATGGGCAAAGGTCCAATCGTTATGGCCCTTGTGCTCCCGTTGGGCGCAAAAGTGACTGCTTGACCGCTCAATATATCGTAGTCTTGAATATATCATAAAAGTCTCGGGGGTTATCCCACTCTGGGGGAGGGTTTTGAGAGGCAGGGGGATTCCTCCCGGTATACAACGGAGATACGACCCGGAGATACGCTTGCCTCCTCGTTATTACTCCTCATTTGCATTTTTCCCATTTCGTATCGTGGGCACCTGGCCACAAACCGCCTCTCCTGCCATTCAGACGTATACCACATTTATACAACCACCCGAAATTAGCCAATCTCACGTATCATTCAATTGTGATTTTATTCAAAATTCCTCGGGATTGATAAAAAAATGAACAACTCAAAAATTCTCTTAAATCAGGAATAATGGTTTTCATCTGAGAGCCACCGAAGGTCGCAATCACCGATAGACAAATATTTCTCCTAAGATCATTTACTTTGTCCGAATAAATTTCAAGATTTTTCTGAATTGATAAATCAACATTTTTATAGTCGACATTCAGTATCGCATTCGTCCTGATTGGGCGTGATTAATTGCCCGATTGATTAATTAGTTCATTAATTCACGTTTTACGATACGTACTCGGCGACAATTACATCCGATGTTAATTGAACAAACGCCCCACAGCGGAATCTCAACTTTTTTAAGTGAAAAGGAGTCTGACAGATAGACAACGCACCTCGTCGAGAATTGAATGTAAGTCACTTGTAACGTGTCACACGTTAATGTACATAACTCGAAAACGGTTCCGCCGATAACCGAACTCTCAATATCTATCGCCAACGGAAAGTTGGAATAAAAGCGTAAATAAATAATGTCGCCGCTGACGTAACCGATACGCCTTGTCAACCGTGCGATTTATTAACGATCACCCAACGCCCAACAATCCGAAAACATTCGAGAGTCAAGTACAGGAGCTGTCCAATAACAAAATTACCAGCAATCTCCATAAATCATTATACGTCGAGAATATTTTTTTCTTTTCAAATTCAAACCGAATTTTTATTTCAATTAAATAGGAATTTTTTACGATTAATCAATGTTTCTTTCGTTCAGACAATCTATTTATTTGGATTTATTTTATTTTCATGGCATTAAGTCATTTTCATTTAACCAGAGCGCCTATTTCATTTTAATAGGTTTAGATTTTTATATTTCAAGCTGACGGCCTACTTGATTTTTTTGACTGAGGTTTTTGTTCATTCCTGATTAGACACTTGCTTACAAAAATTATCTAGTAAATTTAATTTTTTACTCGTGGGGATTCGAACCTGCAACCCACTGACTCGTTATCAGACGTGTTACAACGGAGTTAACGATTTATTTCGTTCAGAGTTGAATTATTTGTCTTAAGAGATTGCTATTTGATTGAAATCATTTTTCGGTTCGTACGATGGTCTCACCATAAAAAAAATTGAATTTACTGGAGTTTATGTGTCCAGCTGCCGTGGATCAAACTCGAGTCTTGGTCTCTACATCGTTTTCCCGCAGATGTGCACCACGAGTGATACAAAAGTGGTCAGTTGACGCGTGCAAAGAGAAAGACAGATACAGCTTATAAAATAAAAATCGAAAAATAATCGAGAGTCAACTGCACCTGTCTCTGTCTCAAAAACCGGCTGAGACCTCAACCACTTAATGAGACGCCTAATTGATGATTTTATTCTCATTTGAAGTTTAACGTTCAATTTTATTTTATCTTGTTTATTTTTAATTGTCGGATTAAGGATATCGCGAATAATTTTTTTTCCCCGTTTTTGTGCAACACCCGCGATTTTGAAATGTGATAAAAGACGGGATAGGGGAGGGAGAGGAAAATGTAATGCGAAAGGGTGTTATTAGTTCAAGGTATACGGTACCAGTGTATGTACGAATAACAACATTGTAGTATGGATCGTTCGCTTTATCATGGGGGCCTACTGTAATTGCAAGAGTTTAATGCTGGCAATCATTTTAATTATGAATCGACCCTTTTTCGAGTTGGGTTATGCACAAGTGAATTTTTTATAATCACGGAAGCTGATGTTGTTGCGATTTGCGAAATAGGTTTTTTTTTCATTATGGCTAGATGGGTATCTTCCATCGTGAAAATTTTGAATTTGGAAATTTCAGTGAATACCTCCTCGATTTTCATGTTCTCCTGATACTCTTTCAAAAAATTTGAATTTGGCAATTTCAGTGAATACCTCTTCGATTTTCATGCTCCCCTGATACTTTTATAAAAATTTCGATTTTTCAAATTTCAGTGAATACCTCCTCAATTTTGATGTTCCTCTAATACTTTTTCAAAAATTTCGAATTTTTCAATTTCAGTGAATACCTCCTCAATTTTGATGTTCCCCTGATACTT